GCAGCACAACAACAAGGATCTAGGCGACTGGGATGGCGAAATTTCATATTCAATATGGGAGCCGCCAAGAAACCTCAATGTAAACCAACTAAACGGGACGAGTTGCATTCGTCAAATCTGCCAAAACAACTTAGCTCCGATTCGCTTCCGGTTCGAACCCAAACTCATGCGCCCAGGTGAGCGTTAAACCACTTTTCTATCTTCGAAAAGGTAACTGAAAAAAGTAAGTCAGTACGCTTAGTGGCGCTGACTTAGCTCAGGTAAGCGATCAAGTACGTCACGTCTTGAACGTCATCGACAATAATAGAATAGGTTCCATTGTCATTAAATGTTAGATGACGATGTCCTTCAAATTCTAAGATGTAACGGACCTGTGCTGCATATGTACTTATTCACTTATTGTTTTGGCTAATGCCGTTTGGACTCCAGCAATTTCGGCACCGAGCTCATTTTTAAATTGCCTAAGTCACCAAACCCGCTGAAAACATGTACACAAGGGTTATTTACCATCGTGATTACAATTATGACACTCATTCTTGGCGCTGGCGCCAAGGGATGACACTACGATTACCTCTTGGGCTCAGCCTTAGCGGAGCGCAGGTAATCGTAGTGTCATCCATTAGCGCCAGCGGCAAGAGTGAATGTCATACGGAGAGTGAGTCACGTTCGTAATCAGCATATTAAATACCCCCGGAATACAAGTGTTAGCGGATTTGGTGACTTAGGCAATTTAAAATGATGTGTCAGTGCCCAAAAATTGCGTGGAATCCAATGCGCATTGTAGCCTATTGTTTCTTGCTGTTAGTAGCTCTGGGACGCATTTTGCACTTGGCGCGCTGGCATAACGGCTAGCCGTTGTGGAATGGTAAAGTGTATAACGTCGCCATCAGTCGCGGTGTGCTGTCAGGTTTGAGATGAGCTCACCTACGTCTGCGTTTTCTATCAATGGTTATCAGTTTAGGAAAGAAACAACCAGTGGTAGAAACGCCGCAGTGGACTCAGTGCTTGCCAATCTGACCTGCCGGTAACTGCGCGACACTCAGCTTTTAATTCGTTTCCTCCTTGAAGGAAAAGTGTACAATCACCTCCGTGAATCCTGGTCGTTGCCGTTGGCGGGGAGAATGGGTCGGCGGCAGCGGTAGCGTGCCATTTCCTCAGGTAAAAAGAGCACGGGAACGGGGCTGGAAGGCAGCGTTAGCCGAGTGCCGTCTCCGCCCGCGACCAGCCACACGCCTAACCATAGCCAAACGCGCTACTTGTCTCCACCGTCTCACTTCTGGTTGTTCTCTACGGCTCAACGCGTGTTTCGCTGCGGGACATTGGCATCGAATGCAAGTGCCTGCATCTGTGATGATAGCTCAGGCGAAATGCGAAATCTGGTTGCACTTACCCTACACCGCAGTTGCCCGTGCACTTTGAGGGGGGGGGGAAAAGGAACACACTGCACGTGCAGACGCATTCGCCCACACATGGCAAGGACCGTCCTCGAAGGTAAGTGTACAACTGCCCTTCAAAATGTAGCCGCTTTGCGACCACACGTTCATGAGCCATATACTAATGTGCAACATTTAGTATTGAAGTTGAGCATCAACCATGCAAAATAATTCATTTTTTTATGATCATAAAATTCACAACACCGTTTCAAACATGAGAAAATTATTAAGGGTAAACACATACTAGGCAAAATTATACAATTTCAGACCGGAAGCATCGGCTGAATGATACGAGGCGGCACCACTTTTCACTGACCGATACGGAACACGAGGCGTATGATGGCGATTTGGATGATGGAGTTGTCGACGAGCCGTGTCCGACTGTTCGTTCCGAGCGGTTTGCCGTCCACAAACACCGTTCTGGCGCCAACGTTTGTCATCTCAAACTGACCAGTAGCGGGATCACGTGCGATGACCGCTTGCCGTCGTGAGACCTTCTCGGCCGGACCTTCCAAGGCGAGGTCCAGGTCCACAGGATCACGCGGTGTACTGCGACCTAGTACTACTCGGTCAGTCCGGACGAGGTAACGAACTACTCGTCCGCGTAACGTGGCCCGGACATCGGTCGCTGGACTACAGATGCCCGTCACTGGCTGAACCACGACTTTTGCGAACTCGCGTTCGCGCGCGTCGCAGGCAGCCGCTGCGTTCAGTGCCCTGGTCTCGTCAAAGTTCACTCTGCCGGTAAGATCGTACGTTCGCTCCAGCAGTTCCCAATCAACCATCCCTGATTGTGGTCCCGGTGTCAGAATTCCATACCTGCAAATAAGACGCGTTAAATCAATTAGATCCTACAACTCGTTGTTCAGTTGAAGTCTTCAGCCCTAAGTATCAATGCCTCCCTAGGCCCCGTCCCGTGTATATGTGCCGCGCTTCCTAATTGATGCGCTGACCTATATCAAATTAATTGATGATCATTTCTAGACATGATGAATAAGCATAATCGCAGCTGATAAAAACACTGCCATATATATACAGAAAATTTCTAATAAAATTTTGTTGAATTCCTAATTATACCGGGTCGAGATTTTTGCTAGAATTTGTCTCTTTGAACGTAAGCTTTCGGAGTCATACATGTGCTCCAGTCAGTGTACATGTCTGCAGCTACCGGTATGAGACGCGTGCGGTCGCGCGCGGTTCACATCGGAAGTCGTGGACATCGCTATCTGGAGGGTATGTTCTGTACTGAAAGAGCTGCTTGTAAAGGGAAATTCCACCAGAAACCTCAGGCTACGTCATTACATCGCTATGTCATGTAATTGCGCTGTCGTCGTCACGTTTATCGCGTTACGCGAGCCAATCGATACTCCGCCTCCACATCTTCCGTTGAACTCCCTAAAATGTGGCCCGCAATGCTATTGTTAAATGTTAACCTTCGTAATTGCTCAATCTTCCTTGTCGGTATCAAGTCAACACGTCATTTCACGGTTGTTAATTCCTTTTTTCTTTGTAAATGAGTATTTCAAAAGATGTTGTTCTTTTTTGTCGTTGATACAAATAAACCTATGAAAACCTACGAGTTCAGTATGTGCCAGTGATCCAACAATGATTGAGGGGTACGAGCCGAATGGAAATCTTCTGGATATTTCTTTATTAAATCCTCCATCATGGCTCGATCTGGGCAGGACATATTGCCAAGGTCCAGTCCACGCAACAGGTCTTCTTCTCTTACCGTGAATGCCGTTCGAGACTGGAAAGGAAAAGATAGCTTCAGCAGTGATGCCTTGAATCACACCATTAACTTTACTTCCACTCAAAAATGTAGGTTTGAATAGACCAACAAAATGCCCAAGCAGATCGGACATCAGCCAGCCAATCATAAACGATAAGGAGCATCCAGATCAATGACGATGATCTTGGGGACATCAAAGGAATTTTGGTGCGAAAGTGGGATCACGGCCATACGAAAAGAACCACCGGCGCAGTTTGGCGATGGCGGAGAGAAAAGAAGGCGGGGGGGGAAAGAGAGGTAGTGAGTGCTCTGCCGAAATTTTAAGTTGTTTTCACCCACCCCGGCACTTCTCCCTTGAACATGCGGCAGTAGTCCCCATCACCAAGTGAATTCTGGCTTTGCACAGAAAGCTCTCTGAGTGTCCGCCCACCAGTCGGAGGTCGTTAGTGTGGAGAGTAACGCAGCAGGGGGAACGGGGTAATCTTGAAAAAGCATAACATCATGATCGAAGAATGGAGTTTTAATGCTTTCATCGAGCATAACTAAAGCCCACAAGTCAATATCGCGTCTTAGCGCTGGAGATCGAGATGAGTTAGGCATTCTTATCTGCCGACAGCACTACGCTCTTCCTAAGCATATCGAAATTTTTCTGTACTATACAAGATTTTATAAGAATTAAATGTTTTTTCTCCGATTCTTTTAGAATCTTGATGAAAACTAAGAAAGCGAAACGCTATATTAGGAAAGGTGCAACTATCAGCGTGACCAAAAAGTTCTGGCAATTTCGTGTTTGTGCGTTTTTGAATGGCCATTATGGTCTGTTTTCTCTCCGATGGGTTATTTGTATTCCGCAAGCCATTTCGAACTACCGTACGAGTCATCTATCCAATCACTTTCGATTTCTCCTCGCACTGTCTCGAAAAAATCAAAAAGTTGCAGTTGTTGAAACCCATCTTCTGGTCGGTGCTTGTTGCTTGAAGAATGTGCTCGCCACCGACGAGAAAAATTTTCGATCACAACTACCGGAATTGTTGTCTGCTCCTCAGAAAAGGTCAACAGAAGGCAACGGCTGTGAAATCCGTCGGACGCAGACTCTTTCCAGCCTCAGTCACGGTCTGAGGCGGGATCTGTGCCACCGGGAAGACCTCTCATTTCTTCATCGAGCGCATCGTAAAGATTAATGCTGTCTACTCCCAACAACGCGTTCTCCGCGATGTACTGAAGCCATGGGTGTCGTAAGCAGCTTCGCCGGTATGGACACGTGCTTGCCGCGACTGGAGCCACACCATCTTGCCAAACCCCACGAACTGCCGCTTGTGAAGAGCTGCTTCCCGATTTTGGGGCAAGGACGTTTGGCCTCCCAACTAGCATGGTCCGAACCCCATGGATTATTCCATCTGGGTCGAAAAATCTCAGGAATTCGATGCGCAACGGCTTACCACCTGAAAGTGGCGTTGCTGCGCGTTTGGGATCCAACTTAGAGCAGACAGAATGCGCGACCATTGTCGGACACTTTGGAAAACGACTACGTAAATGTGTTGAGGCTGAAGGAGGCATTTTTGAACACTTGTTGGAACTTTGTTGTATACGGTCATTAGTACTGATTAGATGAAGACTCCCAGACGTTTAGTTGGCTGATTTCCTTTTTCGAACGGTATTTTTTATGCTACCGAGTATTCCGAAAAATTGCCAGAACTTTTTGGTCACCCTGTATATAGCAGGCTTCAGTCAACTGCCACAAGAAAATCCAGATCGAGAGAATGTTGATTGTGAACGGCAAACATGGGAACTGATCGCACCTGAATTCGCAGGATTTCCTCGACCGGTAGCTCATTCATTCTCTTCTTAGCTTGTCTCGAGAGGGTATCGTCATACATGAGTTGATACCACCTAGAACATGGAAATGCAGTGTTTTGCAATTAAACCATGCTACATCAAGCATGCTGACAACCCCACAGAAGCCAAAAATGGCACAATAAGTAATTTTCCAGGGAAAGAAACAACAGAATGTTTCAGGTACTAGTAAAAGGCACAACGTATTGTGGGACCGCGAATGCGAGTAGAGGCGTATATTGCTCGAAACACATGAACCGCTTTCTTGTCAAGTATACAAATAACCCGGAACATGACTGGGATGAGAAAAGACCATAACCATACTTCTTTCTACAAGGCTGATGTTCAGTTCAATTTACACTTGCCTCTCTTCGATGTCCTCCAGAGAATATGGTCGACTAAACTTGATACTACCGTACGCAGCGCGCAAATCATGCACCTGAAAGCATAACCGTTAAAGAAGTGCTAAGAATGTTCTGTAGAGGGTCCATGATCGCCTGCATTGCCATCGGCGCTAGCCAAACTCCTCAAACTGTGTCTCACGAGAAAGCGCAGACGAATAGAAAGAGGATTTGAACCAGCACTGCCCCCCCCCTCAACTCCACAACATCGAGGAGCTTCTACGGGATTCAAAGAACTACACAAGCTGAGCACAAATTCAAGACCCACATGCGTCACAGCAGTTACAAGTGCCACGTCGTCTGCTGCTGTCCATCGCCGCAGCTTCGGCAGATGTCATTCCATCTGCAGCTTCTGTAGCTGCGACCAACTCCTGAATGATGTTAAATTGAACGTTATACTAGAAAAGGGATTGAAGCATTTTAAAACTCTCAACCTTGCATCGAATATCCTTTTGGGCGATTCTTGCTTCACGGCGTTTCTTCTCTATTTTTGCCGCTTCCTCTTCGTCTTCAGCTGTCTGGCGGTCTTCCACGCTATGTGTGGGCCTTCGTCGCAACGAGTGAGCGTGCTTAGCAGCTGGAGCGGATGCGCTTTCAACCTGGATGCAGAAGATGAATTGAGAACGAAAACAAGTGCTGGTTCACTATCTGACTCCCGATGCTCCTGAAGGGACTGTGCGGGATCAGCGGAAAGGCTACGTTCATACTTTGCGTTAGGGTACACCAGGCGTCACCTACCAGGAAAGAGTAGGTATCGATCTAGCGAACGCCAGCATTTGAGCGACTAGGAAAGTATAGGTATCGACTCAGCTCACGCCA